GAGCAACCTCTTCCCATGCGTTTGCCTCTTAAATTTTTATGGTTTTGTGTAGAGTGTGCCGTGCGCGTGTGCGTGACGTGTACTCCTTTAAATCTGTTTGATGGTGTGTGTGTGTGTGTGTGTGTGTGTGTGTGTGTGTGTGTGTGTGTGTGTGCGTGTGTGTGTGTGTGTGTGTGTGTGTGTGTGTTTGTGTGTGTGTGAGTGTGTGTTCTTATCTCATCCTCTCCACCAGCGTCTGTGGCGTAGCGGCTAGGCCCTTCGCCACCACACGCAAGAGATCCAAGTTCCTATTTCGAATCCCGAGTACGGACTTGTTTAAATATCGAGTATCTCGGGTTTTTCGAAGAGATGTTGTATCCATCTCAGAACGCTTTGTCCAAGACAGGTACGGTCGAAGCACGCCTTCTAAATTATCTAAATTGTGTCGATGAAGACGTACATTTAAAAAAGTTGCGCAAACCAACCGTTTACACTAATTTAGAGCCTTTAATTCTGAAGCCCGTATACCAACTTTTTTAAAAAGTTGACTTTATTAAGAATGGGATTACGAACGAAATTACGGTGCTGTTCTATTTAATAGAAATAATATGCTATATTTTTGCTCCTCTTGACGGTTTACTACTCTACTACAATCCCCAACCCTGACTGTAGTCTAGTAGTAGACTGGCAGAGAAGACCACCAAAGACTGTCAAGTAGAACCAAAACGTCGTTGTAAACAATCAAATTATAGATCAGAAACGTCATGGTAGACCAATAAATTATAGGACAGAAACGTCATGGTAGACCAATAAATATAGGACAGAAACGTCATGGTAGACCGGTAAATTATAGGAAAGAAATGTCATGGTAGACCAATAAATTAAATTACAGGAAAGAAATGTCATGGTAGACCAATAAATTATAGGAAAGAAACGTCATGGTAGACCAATAAATTAGATTATCTATAGGACAGAAACGTCATGGTAGATCAATAAATTAGATTATCTATAGGACAGAAACGTCATGGTAGACCAATAAATTATAGAACAGAAACATCGCAGTAGACCGTCACGTGAACTAGTACTGAAATTCCCTGTGTAATCCCCGCGTTCTGCAATATAATACTCCTTTGTTTTGCTGCACCTGGCATCGATCAACAGAGAAAAGAGGTAAGAAGAAAAAAAAAACTCTCATTCTCCTTTTCTGGGCTTCACGTCTTTGCGCGTATATTTAGTGGTATAGAAAACGAAACATTTGGGAAAGGATGCGGGTATTTCGTACAGTTCTTGTTTTAGTAAGTGTTTTACAGCTGTAGCAACACATTTGGGTCTTAAAAGTGCCGTAGAGAGAGTAACAAACATAAAATAGAAGGAGGGGAGGATATGAAGAGATATGGACGATATGTGTTTGATAGGAAAGAAGGAGCAACCCACACACCAGGGCACCTGAAATCCACCAACTCGTTCTCAACACTTCGTCCAGACAGTGAAAAATGTGAGCTTTCTGCCAAATTATGCCTAGCCACTTTTTAATAACATAGTTTACATGATTGAGACACATCAGCTGTCTTATGAATGTGATAGATAGATAGATAGATAGATCGAGATAGATAGATAGTTAGAAAAAGAATATTGTCGTGTGTGTGAGTGTGTGTGAGTATGTATGTGTGTGTGTGTGTGTGTGTGTGTGTGTGTGTGTGTGTGTGTGTGTGTGTGTGTGTGTGTGTGTGTGGTTTGAGAGGGGAGGGGGTGAACGATAGAAGGGATTCAATGAAAGAGAAAAAAGGAGGGAGCAGGAGGGAGTAGGTGGAAGAGAAGAGAGTCAGATAATAATTAGAGGGATTGGGTTTGGGGGAAGGGGGGAGGGAGTAAAATTCAACCGTCTCGTAAAGCTACGATTTGGTCATTTTCACAACCATTCGTATGCCTTCTTCCCTTCATTCGTCTTCAAAAGAAAGCTAATCTGCTTTGACGCGTGCGCTCTCATGAACGTGGCGTCATCAAAAAACCCTTTACGGTAAGGCAGGTAATGGTGTTACTTTTTTTTTCTTTTTCTTTCCTCGAGAATAATAGTTCTGGTTACAACGAGTTGACTATGTGCCTATATTATTGTCATCATTTACCTATATCGTCATAAATCAACTCGTTCACACAAAAAATCGCAAGAACCTACCAACAGTCTGTCCACGCATAGATCTACCCAAAACAAGGCTCGAAATTATAATATTGTTTTGGTATTAAAATGAGTTGTTATACAACTCATATATATA